ACAGTACACTAGCACACAGTACACTAGCACACAGTACACTAGCATACAGTACACTAGCACACAGTACACTAGCACACAGTACACTAGCATACAGTACACTAGCACACAGTACACTAGCACACAGTACACTAGCATACACGCTGGAGAGGAAAATAGATCAATATTTCACCTTTTGAGTAGCTCCATGTGGTTAGTGTGTGTGTGTAGAGCTTATTCTGCACACTATATGTGTAAATTGTTGTTCTGTGCTGTACATGTCTCTCTCTCTCTAGTGTGTGTGTGTAATCATTTCTGTATGCTATGGCCTGTAATGTACATACGGTGGAGTCACTGCAGTGAAACTGTTTCAGATGACTGGAGCAAAAGACAGAATGAGAGAAAAAAAGATGAAGAATCAGCCGAGAAACGTAATTTACACGAGCTCAGGTGACCAGTGCTGATAAAGGCTTCATTCAGCACATATCGTTGTATTTGATCACATATCGTTTGTGTTATTGATTGAATGCTCATCGTCCACAGGTCGCGGTACCGGGAGAGGTCAGAGGTCATCAGCCTGGGGGTCACAGTTACAGTCAAGATCTGCCCAAATACATCACAGGTAACATTCATAACTAAAGAATAGTTCAATAAAAAAATGAAAAACTCTGTGATGAGATGTTTAGCAGTGACCAGAGGTTGTCAAACACCACACAATGACAAAAAAAAATTCTGGCTTGTGTGTGATGTTCAGTTTTGAGACACACCTGAACCAGAATGTTGTTTGCATAGTTGATGTCAAGCTAATTATGACACACATATTTGACTGCACTCAGACGTTAATGCGATCTGAAAATGGTGGAACATCGAGAACAACGAGCTGAAATTCAGTCTGATCCTGTTTAGCTGTGTGGAAAAGATCTGTGTGAGTCTGTTATGTTCTGTGGAAGAAAGAAAGGCTTGCAGCGGCAAATACAAGAACTGATGAAATGTGTAGCATAAATGAATATAATGCAAAATGTAAATCATTTTTGTGAACTAACCCTAATGAAGCGAAGTGTTTGAAGTTCCTTCCTCCCTGCAGCCTCGTCCTTCGCTAAAGCGCGCGCCGCTGAAGTGAACGCTGTGCTGAAGGCCGTCAGTAACGCTGCAGGCAGCTGCCACATCTCCACCGCTCTGCTGAAGCACATGCGCAGACGAGCCCTGAGCCCCAGCACCAAGAGACTGCTGAGCCTGGTGCTGAGAAACCCACCGGAGTCCAGCAGAACCTGACTGAACACACGACACAGGCTCGCATCCATCACAGGATCGGTCTTTAATACTCCTCCTCACGAGTGCTCTCGTAACTGACCTGGAAGAGAACAAATTATTCATTAAAGCCATTATTTTAGTGTTCTTTCCACACTAAATCTATTGTTGTAGCTTCATAACATTGCGGTTGAACCCCAGGGGCCAGTTGTGCAAAAGTAATCTGATCGGATTGGATCAAATCTTGAAAATGGGTTGTTCAAAACAAAAAAAGGATTCTGAATTCGGATTAGATCACAAAATCCAATCTTGGTTTTGATCTGGATTAAATCTTCAGTTTGTGTTGTTCAAAGTGTTTTAGTAAGATTGGGATACTGTTGATTAAAAAAACAGGATTATTCTGATCCCAGCAGAACAGAGGATTTCAGGAACAAAAATTTAATAAAACTTTAAAATTGGTCCAAAAAATACATTTTAAAATGTAATATATCCCCAAACAGCTGCCAATATCAAACAAAAATATTATATTTAATTTAAAGTGTGTGTGTGTTTTTTTTAATCACTGATTGTAAACTACATTGGCACAATCATCAGAGATGGAGCAGTCAGAAGTAGTTATTCGTGTAAATGCACTGCCATCAGCATGTCCCTTTAGGGGCTCCGTAGAGCTCTAGTAATCCAGATTTGGAAAAAAGTGTGTATCTGGATCAGGGTGATCCAATCCAATTCTGCTTTGAAAAACCTTTACAAGAGTAAGATGGGTTACCTGATCCTGGATAGCAAAACATGGGATTTCCAAATCCAGATCATTCTGATCCAGACTAAACGTTTTGAGCAACTGGCCCCTGATGACTGTATTAGGATCCTTGCTGTCTATGGAGGGACAGAGAGCTCTCGGATTTCATCAAAAATATCTTAATTTGTGTTCAGAAGATGAACGAAGGTCTTATGGGTTTGGAATGACACGAGGGCGAGTAATTAATGACAGAGTTTTTATTTTTGGGTGAACTAACTCTTTACCATACGTCACACACTCATTAACATAGTTCTGTGTGCGACGGGGGAATCAGTGCTGTGGGATTCTGGGACTTATTCCTCGTTCACAGCGCGTGTTAGTGTGTCTAGGCCGAGCGAAGTCAGCGCGCACCAGAGAAAGAGAAGAAGCAGGAGTCATCGAGCGCGTCGCAGACACGGGAACCTGCTGCTGGAGTTCAGTTGCAGACAGAGGAAGAACAAATGGCTGGAGACACATATCTGGCCAAACGCTTCCACATGCAGAAGACGTGGAGCTACTGTCTGCCGCTCAAACCCACGGAGAAGAGCTTCAGAGCTACAGAGACATGAACACACGCCCTGCTGCAGGTGACGCTTCATCACTTCATTACAGGACTGTCATTCTCTCCGAGAACAGAAGAGCTGACTGCTGCGTCACACTCACCTCACCATCTCAACACACACACTTCACCTGCTCCACCGCAGACCCTGCATGATGTTGAGTTACTATACTAATCACAACCATGTTATCTAACACAACAGTTACACAGCCGCAGTGAAGAACTGTACAAAGTGAAATAAAGTGAATCCGCGTGTCTGACAGAGTGGTGGATTCACTCTTATGACGTCATGAGCAATCCAGTAGATCAGAGGTTAGACCTTCTCCAGCGCAGAAGAACAGCGGACAGGTGAAAAACAGACCGCGGAAGAACAGCGGACAGGTGAAAAACAGACCGCGGAAGAACAGCGGACAGATGAAAAACAGACCGCGGAAGATCAGCGGACAGGTGAAAAACTGACCGCGGAAGAACAGCGGACAGGTGAGAAACTGACCGCGGAAGAACAGCGGACAGATGAAAAACAGACC